TTAAAATGTATAATTATTACTACTTTTTATTTAATATTTGTTCTCTTCCTTATTTTTGAATGGTGCCCCCATTCCTAACAGATCCATCTTGGTGATGAGCACGATGGGCCACCCAGATTTTAATTTAAATCGTCCAAATTTAATGGATTATTTTATATACAAGAACCATTAATGCTTAACATACATATGAGCCCATGGACAAACAGCGCAGAAAGAAACGGAAGCCAACTAGCATTTGCCCTCAAGGTCAACTTCATTTCATCTCTTTCTTTCATAACATTACAGCTTCTAAATATACATATATATCGAGACTCCAATCTAAATCTCGTAATAAGCTGTTTGATTAAAGTTCCAGATCTAAGAAACTTCAACATGCTAGAGCTGAGTTGGTCACGTTATTTCAGTGTTTTTCACCAGACATCATATCTGTGATCGATGCCTGTTTCTGGGTGCAGTAGTTATTAATTAGATTGCTTTAGTATATGATCAACTTAAGCTTATAGGTTTATTATAAACAGTTTTTTTTTAATTTTTTTTGACGGAGATTACCTTTCTATGTAGCTCTGCTCACTTATAGTCTTATCCAAGCTGATCTGTGTTACTGTGTATTTACTTTGTGCAAATCCAGAGGTGAGCAGCATGGAGTGGGAGTTCATAAGCATGTCAGAGGAAGAAGATCTCATTTACAGAATGTACAGACTCGTTCGAGACGGGTATATATTACAGCTAGCTAGCTTCTTCCATCTTCAATATTAAAAATGCTTTCAATAATTATAATGCCTCTAATGAATGCAGATCAACAAAGGCAGACCTACGTTATCCTCAGTGTCGGCGACTACCCCCACTGAAGCTTTTAAAGTTGCATGTACCTAGCAAGTTTGGTTCAAATATGCCCCCCCTTCCCCTGATCTTGCACCACTGGACGAAGATGATATTATAGGTGAACTGTGAAGCGAAGATAAATGAAGACTGAAAACAAAAAAGGGGAGAAAAGGGGCTGGGCGAGGAGATATACAATCAGTGAGAGATCAAATTAACAGAAAATTGAAAACAATATAAGAAAGGTGAAGTGCATCCACGGCAACTCATCTCCATAGCAGGTAATATTTTATATTTTTCCTCTACATTGCTTCTTGCTCTGTAAATATTTTTTATTTACCCTACTATACTGTTGAAAGGATGTTTGAGTTATATTACCATTTTTATGTTTATTTTTTGTTGAAACGTTAGTTTACTTTTTATATTTTTTAGCAATTTTTTTGCATGCACATGTTTAAATTGTAATTTTAAATTTATAATTTTTAAAAATAATTAATATATCAAAACATGATTTGTATAGGTTGGTCGTAATGTTATTTTTATGGAAAATATATCATTAGAGGAGTAACAATATTAAACTAAATTTTATGAATTGAATTCTGCACAATACTAAATTAGGATAAATTTAAAAATCTTGCTATTATATTTAAAATTTTATGGTATATAGTTTATTTAATTATATATATTCTTATATAATTTTAATTTTTATATATCATTTTGATAACATATTTTCTTAATAAAATTAGTTATATTACCATGACTAACTAGATGTGTCTATGATGATAATATTTATTATTTAAAAATTAATTATATTAAATTTTATTTTAAAAAATTTGCCCCCATTGGTCATGAGTCCTAAAACTGCCACTGCTATCAATCTATACAATTAATAATAATAATAATCAGGTTAAATGGAATGGAACATATGAACACGCGCGACAAGCTGCTGATGGTGCTCAAATCTGAAGATTGAAGATATATAAAATTGATTACTAGCTCTAGGTGCATCTCATTTCTAACTTTAGCTAGCCTAGTTGGAAGTTTAAAAAAAAAAAAAAGATATATAGAATTGACTACTGAAAATACCACAGAAATGTTGGCTCTAACTCTAACCTGTGTGTGTGTAAAACTGTGTCCCCGAGTATTTGGATGCAGAAGATAAATGATTAGCAGATCATAAATTGATTTGCGTAAACGTGCTTTCAGACTTCTGTTTTGTAACAGTAATATTGTACGTAAATTCATTTGCTATTTGCATGCCTCGTCATAAATTGATACAGAGTATGTTCGGATAGGACTCTAACTAAGGTTTGAAGGATTCTGGCTGAAGTTTAAGTCTAAAAAGCTCATTATATTTTTATCTGGTTTAAAAAATTTTGAAAAGAGCTTTCATCCTAAAACCTTTGTTAGACCAAAAGCTAATAATTCTGGCTTCTAATGTTGTGTAAGTCCCATCTTGACAGCATCTAATGCTATTTACATTTTTCTACCATTTATTAATTACATTCATGTCCCTTGTCCACTCCTGTTGACATTCAAACTCTTTGAATAATTTTGGCCTCTACTATCTATATTTTTTAACTTAATAAACTCTTTATCTGGTTTTTATTTTAGTTGTTTTCTTTTCTTTTTCATTTTTCCTATTTTTTGGATATTTCTAGACTCCAGCCATTGCATCTAGAATGACTTTTTTACTGCATGCACATAGGGTTATTTTAGGATTTTTTATAATTTAATATTTTGTAATTTGTTAATTTACTTTAGAGTTTTATAATTTATAAACAATAAAATTGTATATGAACTTCTATTTTTAAATTATAACTTAAAATTTAATATTTTTCATTAAAATATATACAAGAAAACTTGTGTTCACTTTTGTCATTATACATCTTAGGCTTTTAAATCAAATCATTCAAATAAATTTCAAGTTATTCAACAGACTTTTAAAGAAACATATCCAAATATAAATCATATTATAATCATAAACCTTTTTTTTAATCTCAGTTGATTTCTAATTTCAGTGAAAAAAAATTTAATCCAAACATACACTTAATCATAAACTAAATTTAAATGTATTGGTTTTATAGCATATCATTTGTCAATCAGTTATAATAACTTAAAAATAGATTCAGATTTAAATCTAGATCATAAAGTTTATTTTTTAGCTCATTGGTTTTTTAAACCTGATGTGAGAAATTAAAAGAATTGTTTGCAAAATTTATTACATTAAGCATAGTTATCTATTAGGAATGGAGAGTGACCATTAAAAAACAGGGGAGTGAATGAATGGGCCTATCGTTCAAAAATATAAAGTATTTTTTAAAGAGTTATATGTTTAAATATATAAAGCATTTTTAATTTTTTGAGGTGTGATTAATGTCTTTTTTTTTAAAGTGCCCTTATTGATAATGACTTTACATTTATTATAAGGTATTTAATAGGGGTAAATATGAAAAGATAAAGTTAATTAAAAAGTAAGTAATTATTTTATTAAAGATAAAATTTAATTAAAAATATTTTATATTTTTAAATGAAGGGAGTATACAGATAAATAATTCATTAATTTTTACGTTGCAAGAAACCCATTAATGAAAAATTTAATAAAATTTATTGAGTCATTCTGAATCATCAATGAAAAGACATCAAATTTTTTAAAAATTAATCTTTTAAAAAATAGGTCAATTCACGAGTTGGCCCCCCAAGTCTAACCCATATTCTTAACCCACTTATTCATATTTATTTATCAGTCAAGGTAGAATTCGTTGTTGAAAACAAAGCACCATCGAGATCTGTAATATAGCCCACTAGATATATCCTAACAAAAGCTCGAGGGTCCGCGAAGTACCCTCAATCCGATTGATTCTCTGTCCTTATATTCTTTATTTCCTTATTATCTGTTAATTTTTCTGTCTTTAATTATTTGTTCATTCTTTTTATGTTCGGGAATCCTCCAATGTTAAAGAGTCACCGACTAATTAAACAAAATAATAATAAAACTGATAAGTCTAAAATTATGGAGAACCAGGCTAATGGCGGTGAAAAATGGAAGAGTGAAGAAAAATTCAGAAGTTATGAAATAAATATATTAACCAACTTATCGTACATGCGTAGTAAAGGAAAGAAAGTGAGAGTTTTGTAAATCTTTGGTTTGAATAAATGATAAAAAGTTTTGCATATCTTTAAGTTATATCCCTACAATCACAGTGTCCTATTTCCATGCACATGTATATATGCAAAATTAAACTTGCTCCGGGATGGGATAAAATCAAGTTCCAGGACGAAAAGCTCAAGAGATAGAGGAGGCTTTTGGATAATAATGAGAGGGCCGTGAAAGAGCATCTGCAAGTTTTATGGTACATATAGGAATGATGAGGACTGACACTAATTTCTATATTCTAGCATCAACAGTACTCATGTATGGCAAGCCACACTAACCGTTCATGTCAAAGACTCTCCTATGTAAAACGCATAATCATTATTTTATCAAACCCCACTTTATTTCTTACAGTTTTTTTTTTTTGGTGCCTGCTTTTTTCCCTCACTAAATTTGCGTACTTTCAAGTTTCATAGTATTGTTTTGTGACATAATATGCACGAACTTCAATAAATATTATTGCATTATACTCTCTCTGATTTTATTTATAAATTATTTTTATCAATCTCATCAATACTAATATAATAAAAATATAAAGAATAAAATTTAGTAAAATTACAAACATAACTCTCAAAAAATAAATAAATTATATAATATTATTTTTTATTTTTTTTTATCTTTTAAGAATAATATAGACATTTTAGATATTTTATTTAAAATAAAATATCATTATTAATTTAATAATTTATAAAATAAGTCACTTTATTTTTTAAAAAATGACCAATAACATAAATTGGAAGGAGTAAACTTTGTGAAGATGTCGCATTTAGGTCCACCATCGGGAAAAATATAAAACTCGCCTGTGACGGTTGGAAAGTTATAAGTAAGCATAGCCTGACAATTAGTACCTGAAACAGTACATAATTCTTAAGAGAAAACTTCCGAGTGCCAACGTGGCGCTACCATAACAGCAGATGAATTCAACGGCTAGATTTCTGCCAAGTGGACGAGAAGAAACAGGGAAAGAATTGGATGCGCCGTTGTTTTATGCCCTCGAAGGTGCCCATAGAGAAAAGCCTGTGCTAAGGTCTCCGTTATTTGCTTCTTTAAATCGCAAGCCTCTGATCAATTCTCCTCTTAAGCTGGCTAGCCATTTCTGGAAAGTTCCATGGACAAACAACGTACAAGGCAACGCAAGACTACTAATACCTCTGACTCTGAAGGTCTGCTTCATTCTATCTCTTATTCTCTTCATCGTCCATTGTTCATTTCTGGGTTTCTTTCCTTATTTTCCTTAACTCAGCTCGGGAACTATATATATCCTTAAATCAGATCTGAGCGACCTTTGCGGTCCCGTTAATTCCAGTTATTTCACGATGTTCTGCTTTATTTATTTCTTTATTGAACTGGTGGTCAGTTTTTCCATCCTTCTAGTTCTACAGTGTCGTTGAGGTTCCAGATCTGAGAGACTTCTGTGATCACAGTTTTCCATCAATAACTTCAACTTTTTTTTAGGTTAAAAATAGCTTTTGAAGAAGATCTCCTTTCTGGGTCTGCAGCTATATATGGCAGACTTTTTAGTTTTAGGCTAAAGCTGGCTGATATGTGAGCCTATGTTGGTGTATATATGTTGCATGTAATTGCAGAGGTGAGCAGTGTGGAGTGGGAGTTCATAAACATGTCGGAGGAAGAAGAAAATCTCATCCACAGAATGTACAGCCTCGTTGGAGACAGGTAAATTAAAGCTTGTTTTGTTCCATCTTCAATATTGAATTGCTTTACCAGTTCCATGTTTGTTATATGTATCAACAACGGCCACTGCAAATAAACTGCTTTTGTGATAATCTATTTTCCCCTTTGCTTGTTCTTCCAAGGGAAGCGAAGGAACCTTTTCAATTATTTGGGGATCCAAACATGTCAAGATATTTTGATGAGAAAGCGTGCAGTATATGTAGAGTATATATCATCTGGAAATATCAGAAAATCCCATAATACCTACTACTCTTTTTTACCCCAACAAAAAAAAAAAAATCAAGTACGTGTTTTTACGTAAATAAATTTTAAATAAGGCATTTCATGTCCTTTCTTACACTCTTTGTGGATCTATTCTTAATTGTGTTCATACGCGCGCGCGCGCGCGCACGGACAAAACTTTTCTGAAAAGTATATGTAATCCAAATTACACTTAATATATTTTATTTGATTTTTTGTATACATTTCAAAATATGATATTTTATATTCAAAAATTATTATAAAAGTTCAAAACATTATGTATTATATTGAAATCAAAATAAAAAAAATCAATGTTATTATGTTGTAATACATAGATATTGCCTTTCTTTTCCCATTTCTTCTTTTTTCCACAATATTTTTCAATATTTGTAAACCAATTTTTAATTAATTAATTTTTTATTTTTACTCTGTGGGATACTTGTAGATGTTTTACTTATGTTTAAAGACAAGAGGAAATGAAAAGAAAAAAATTCCAGCCATAATTTGTTGTGTCATTCCTATATAACCTGGCCTTCTGCACTTATATACAACTCCAGCACGGGTTTTCCGTGGCATTGTATTAAAAAAAAAAAAAAAGAAGGTCAGGTGATTCTGTTGTCCACGGCGCGCGCGACATTGTTTGATTGTGATTCTATTTAGGACAGAAAAACGGAGGATTGTAATTATTTTAATATATTAAAAAGACAGTGCCATCGAAGTATGCACCACTACACAGTCCTCTATATATAATATAATTCATGAAAAGCACCAGGGGCCATGAAGTAGAATTCAGAAGCAGCATCAAAGGTTGATAAAGAAAGTTATCAAGTTTTAATTTTTCTGTCTTTTCTTTTTATTTGTTTAATTTTTGGGAGTGAAATATTCTGTCAGCAGATGGAGTCTGATAGCAGGTAGGATTCCAGGTCGGAAAGCTGAAGAGATTGAGAGGTTTTGGATTATGAGACATTCCCAAGTGTTCGCTACCAGAAGAGAAAAACTTAATTAGCAGATATAAACAAATTAATCCTATAATGCTATCATTTTCACAACCTATTGTTCTGTAATAATTTGTGACCGAAAATAGAGGATCTCTCATAATTAACTCTCTTTCTGTTCTTTTTTTCATCATTGTTATTTTTTATGGTATAATCATCATTGGTGTTATCCTTACAAGCAGTAAGACATGAGTGTCATTTTGTTCTTTGAAATTATCATTTAATAAATTCAACATTAATTTTTTTTCATTTTTCACCAAATTAAACAATATTCATTTGATTTTTGTAAACAAAGGATGGGAGATCCATGCACGTACTGATCAAGTGATCATTCACGAGAGTATCATCCACTACGCCAGTTACAGTCACAGTCAAATTTGCATCGAAATAAATAGAAATTAGGAAAGAGTTAAAATAAAAATTATTGAGTGAGATCTTGCACATACTTTTGTTATGTCTGTTCTTGTTTTGTTTTTACTAGTAGTTCTGTTCCCTGCTGATTGAGACTACATGTTTTATATTATCGCTCGGAGGTGTGATCTGAGTCATCAGTAGACAGAAAATGTTGGTGTTCGAGTGTGTGTGTTGTTTTGTATGATGCATGTTAAAAATCTTAAAAGCGCCCTTTAGAATAACTTTATTTTGCAAACGCCCTCCTTTGAAACGAAATTACTTTCCACTTTTATGTCATGAAGGAAGTTTTGAATTAATTTGAATCGTTAATGTCAAGGTTTTTTTTTTTTTTGGAAATATTGTTGGCAGAGATTAAGGGTGCTTACAGGATGGGACACTCCATCCTGCAAACAAACAAAAAAAACCGATGCTAAATTTTTGTCCAATGTCCTGTCCTGTCTTGAAAGTCGTCCCGTCCCGTTAGGAATCGGGACGGGACTGAAACGTCTCACCATCTCGATAAATTAGACAATGTAGGAGAAAGATCTGAATAACAACATTTATTAAAATTTTAAATCATATAATTTATTGAATTTAAAATTAAAACAACACAAGTACATAAATCACAACAATTTAAAGTTAATTATTGAATTAGATTAATCACAACTACATATTATGATAGCAATTACAAGTGATCTCTACGCTATAAAGCAATAACAACAGGTAAGCCAAGCACAATATCAAATCATTGTTCTGCTACTTTAGTTGAAATGTGCTAAGTTAATTATTTTTAAAAAATAGAACAAAAAAATACAATATAAATAAAACTTACTCCTTCCATTGAAAAATGAAAGGTGTTTTTAACCGAATCTCACCCTCTAATAAAGTTGTTTTCTACTTTCAAACTAACTCTATCTTTTCGTATTTATCCTTATTAAATATCCTATAATAAATATAAAGTTACTATCAAAAGGGGCACTTAAAAAAAAAGTAATGAGTACACCTCGAAAGATTAAAAATGCCTTATATTTTTAAATAAATGGAGTATTAAATAGATAGATATAAAAATAAATTATATTAATATAATTAATATATTATAAAGAAAGATATGGCCCTGTTTACTTTGTGTCTTTAAAAATTATCAACGTAAAAAACTTTATTTTTATATAAGAATTACAAATATTAAAATTATAATTGATATAATTAATATAAGTATAAATTATATTAATATAATTAATCTATTTGATGTATGTTTTTAAAATAAAAATTTTATATATATATATACATATATAATTTGGGGACGGGACGGGATGTCCCGAAGGTAATCCTGTGTCCTGAACCTATTTCTTGTGTTGTCCTATAAGTCCTATCCCGATATGATCTGGATGATATCAGGCCAATCGAGATGGGTACAAGCTGAACACCCCCAGCATGGATGGTACTTTGAAAATCAACATAAATAAAGATGAAGAAAAAAGTTATGCATGCTTGTTTTTAACAGTAGGCAGTACTTTTTTTTAGGTTTAATTTGACAGTACTTTTTTTAGGTTTAATTTTCCCCCACCCATTCCATTCTTTAGATGCAAGTTAGGTTGATGGTAACTTTTCTTCAAGATACAATGAAGATTCTTGAGTATGGTTCATAACACACCCTTTGGTTCATGAACAACCTTATGTTAATTCATGAACATCCCTTTATTAGTTCATGAACCTACATACTTTAATAGTTAATATTAACAAGGGTTATAAAATAACAACTTTCTATGAAAAGAAATATCCTTTTATTGAGTAGAATTTTATTGAAATACATTGTAGTTTTATAAACCTCAAAATGTGCCTTTAGAATTTAAAGGGACATGACCATGGTGAATATAACTCTCTACATAATCGTTCATAAAAAATTCTTAATTTATAAGGATATGACTTTTCAAAAAAACATCCCTTCATTTTGAAAATATTCTAACAATTCCCAACTATTTTCAAAATGGTTACAAATCTTATCACTTCGAAAATCTCATGCTTTTGGTAAAGATGTCTAAAAGACTTGAATCTTTACTTAGCAAGACATGGTTTCACCCATCCAAAAAAATATGGTAGCCAAAGCTTTGAATGAATTATCCTATATGAACAAGTATGCATGACTTACGCATAAGATCTTGATCCATTGTATCCCACTTAGGCAACACTCTTACTTGGCCCTATGTCCATATCCTTTTCATGTGAGTTTTCAAAGTCAAGGCGTAAGACTCTTAGAAGTGGCACCAACTCCATTTCTATATAGGAAGACTTTGTTAAGAACACTACCATGATTAGGGCTCTAACAAATATATGCTTACAAGTCTATTAAGATTTAAATCTCAAACTATATCCTTTTAATCTCATGGTCACCAAGTACTTTTAATCTTGGGATGTATTTAAAATGTCAAATACTTGCAATCACTTTAATAGTGTACTTTCACCTTTGAAATCAAGACTTGATGACAATCAAATGTAAGTCAGGTTTCTACTATTGGTGATTAAGGTTTACACGACCTCAGTCCTATCTCCCTTAATGTTTTTAACACCATACCTCTTGTCAGTCCTTTGTGAAAAGATATGTAAGATTTAATTATGATCTTATATAGCTTATAAAGATTACCACCATTGACAATCAAATCATTCATGATTTCTATTATAAGCTTGGCTATAAGCCCTTGAAAAAGTAGATTGGTTATCACAATATATTGAACACTTGCAACTAATACTATAAACTTAGAGTCTGTAATGTAGTCTACAATACATGTCTATTTCTTAGATCCCCACCTAAAGTGTAAACCCACCTACTTGTGGAAGCATAATTCTCTAAGTAACTTATCCAATTAGTATTTGTATATCCTTGTGAAATTGAAGGATTGCCACTACATGTAGCTAATTATCCCTTTCAAGTACCTTAGTACTCTATCCATAACATGCTAGTAGTTTTTATTTAGATTGCTTGTGTATCTACTTAACCTTTCCATAACATATGCTATGTCTGGCCTAGTACATAAGCATCGAATTACTTTTGAATAATCCAGTTGTCTCATAAGACAACCTTTATTTAGTAATAATTTCATATTACAATCAAATGGAATAGAAATAAGATAACCATCAAAACAATTGAATTTTTTTAATATTTTCTCACTGTAATGAGACCGAAAAAGACTAAGACAATTAACTCTAATAAACTAGATTCCTCATATGACATATGCTTCTCCCATATCTTTCATATAAAAGTTTTTAGACAAAAAATTCTTTATTTTCTCAACTTCATCCAAATCAATACCAAAAATCAACACATCATCTACATACAAACAAATCATGACACCTTTTCTATTATTAAACTTATTACAAACCCATTATCAGATTCATTGATTTTATACTCATTTGCTAGAATTACTTCATCAAACTTTTTGTGCCATTACTTAAGGGCTTGGTTAAGACCATAAAAGGACTTAATTAGTTTACACACCTTTTGTTCTTGACTAGGAACTACAAACCTTCTAATTGTGTCATATACACCTCTTTTTCAAACTCTCCATAAAGAAAAGCTATTTTAACATTTATTTGATGGATAATAAATTTGCATATTGAGGCAAGTACTATAAGTACTCTAATGGTAGAAATCTTAGCAACCAATACATATGTATGAAAATAGTCTATCCCTTCCTTTTATGTAAACTCCTTAGCAACTAGCCTTACTTTAAATTTATCTATAGTTTTATCTACTTTTAATTTTCTTTTGAAAATCCATTTACAATTGATGGGTTTAAAATTGGGTGAGAGGTCTACTAATTTTCAATTTTTATTTTCAATTATTGAATCCATTTCATCTTCTATAGCCTCTTTCAAAAAAGTTGAATCTTAAGACTTCATAGCCTCTTCAAATGTTACAGGATCACTATTAGGTGAATAATTTTCAACCTCTTCTCTTGTCCCCTCAACAGCATACATGAAGAAATTTGATCAATAGGTTTTAGTTTTCCTAGACCTTTTATTTCTTTTAATTTCTATTTCTTTGAATGTATCATTACTAGGAATATTTGTAACATCCTAAATTTCTAATTCAAAACTCTATTACTAGTTAAGGGTGAAATTAGTAAATGAGTAGATTAATTCAACTAATCTTGTTTTAAGATGGCTAACTATTGTTTTGAACTATTGGACAACTTTAAGATTAGGCTACGGTGGAGTTTAGGTCGAGACAGGCAAGTAAAATTGGAATTTTGAGTGCTGTGCCATAAACTGTGGTGTGTGGCACTTAAATCAGATTAATAACTCATGTTTCAATTTGAAAAGTCAAAGGGAAAGTGTAGGTTTTTAAGTAAAACAGGGGAGAAGAGGAAAGGGTCTCTTAGGGCATCATATCAAGCAACCTTGTGAGTTGAATTGGATCCTCCAACTTATAGGTAAGCTTTCCACCCTTCTCTTTTATATTTTTCATCTTGGTTTCATGTGGTTGGTGTGGGAAGAGTTTATATGAGTAAGAGAATCTATGGATCCATGCTTAAAGGCTCGTGTGTGATTTTAATAGATTAATCTCAGTTTTTTAGGCTTAAGACAAGTGATGTTATAAAGTGTGGTGATTAGAGGTTGAGATTTGATTAAACTCTAACTAAATTTTAAGGTTTTTAAGTTGTACGAGTTGATTAATGATGTGGCTTAGTTAATAGGGGTTGGTGATGGGGTAAGTTAG